AAAAATTGTATTTATTTACAACCTGCCTTGTTCCAAAAAGGATTCCGGGTGGAGTTTTCAATTAAGTGTATGAAAAAGCATATCCTCCAAACTTTACAGAGTTGGGAAAAAAAGCTAAAAGCTTTTTATCATAACCTTTTAATTTTATCCTCTTGCTTGCGGGCATGCTGTTTAAGTAAAATGTTCTCATCGTGCAAACGCAAAAATCTGTCTTCCAGTTCCTCACGACTGATACGTGACACTGCCGGACGAGACTTCATTGTCCGTGTTGTTGAAGTTTCTGTAAAAATGCCAAGATAATTAATAGTGGGGTTACTTAACATAGTTTCTAAAAATGAGAACAGTTGATATTAATATAATCTCTGATGCACTCATCTTTGTTACTTTCTGTCCTACAATTCAGATTGTTTTAGAAAATGTTACAACTTTGTTTACATCGCCAATCGGAGGGGAGAATAAAAATCTTTGCTGTTAAAGTTTACATGCAATCCTAAGGATTTCAGCAATAATAACACCCATTCAAAACAATATTTAAATAACCGTTCTTTAAGACTGTAAGATAGAAATCTGATTCAGTAAGACTTTTCCATTTATATGCTCAATGTTGGAAAAACACAAATTAAAAGTCAGAGTATCTGAAAGTTTTTTTTTTTTCCCTACAAAAGAGTTATAACAATAATTTGGTGAACGTGGGATATTTTTCAGAGCTATGTATGTGTTTTGGGTTACAGAAAATAAACTGTAAAATTTACAAGTCCAAACAAAGAAACCAACCAACCTTGACCAATTATTTATAAGCTATTTTACATATTTTAAAAAGACTTTTATATCTTTTAGCATGTGTATGCATTTTTTTCTTACGTATGATTAAATTTTGTATTTTCCATATCACTGGCTAATTTTCATCAATCATCCAAAAGAAACAAAGAACAAATGGACAAGGATTAAAGCCCCTATAGTGCACTACTAGGGGCAAGAACTGAACTTAAAGTAGCAAATTCCAATAGCTTTGCACAATTAAAATTTATTGGTATTGGAATACTTGGTATTCAACCAAAGATCTAAAACAAAGCTTATATATACTTCTTACTCTTAAAAATAAAATCTGTATAACCAGACTTATCTTTTTCAATAAACAGCATGCTGACCACCTTTCTGAGTAGTGCCAGGCGGCCACCTGAACTGTTCTACCAAATAGGTATATGAAGACGCCTTAGTGGAGCGTATTTTACATCACGGCCATCTCAATGACAGACGCAGGGGCATGACATGCTGTATACACAAAAACATAGCTGTACACTCATACTTGTTCCTCAAAGCAGTTATTTTATTGTTTCAACTTGAAAGTGCTTTTTTAGCTCTATAGCAACCACCAAGTGATAAAAGGATAAAGAAAACCTTTAATGTAGATTAATTTGATAAAACAAACTCAATATCACTTGGATAAACAAACCATTTTGGGATACTCTACTTGAAAGGCAAAAATTTTTAAATATGGCATTTCCTGCCATATAAAATTTCAACATAAAGAAACATTTTAATGGTGAATGTGATTTAAACCAGGCAATTCGGTTTGGAGGCTTGGTACTCTCTGCGTAGTTTGTAGTGATGTGTGGAATTTTAAAAAGATGATTTATAACAATTCTTTATCAGAACAGAGGGGGATTTTACATTTTCTATGAGCTGTTGATAATTGATGCGTGCAGTAAAATACCATATGTTGTTCTAAACCCTCCAATGTTCCTGTTTAGTCCAATCAAGAGCTATATAGTTACTTAAACAGCTTCGTTTGTAAGGATATCAGAAATACTTGAAATTAAAAAGAAAAGAAGTTACTGATCAAAGTTCATAACGATAATAAATAACAGCTGGCCGTACCTTGTAACCCTCCCATTCCAGAGAGGTTTAGACCTATATCCTTCACAGGCAGGTCTCCTGCCGTCTCATCAGTTGGTCCAGACATGGCCTATCTGTGGAGAAAAGAAAATTCAAATAAAATCTTCTCAACATACAACATTATGCAATGGAATGAACCAAATAAAATGAATAAGGCACTATGGCTTTAATGGACATCTTATTGCTCACATGTGCTGCTTGAAGAAGATGAAAGCTTCATTTTAAAAGTAATACTACATTCAATCATGGAGACAATGTTCCTTTCAATGGTATATTTCCTATAGTTTGCTTAGGAAATGAGGTAAGATTATCATTCTTCCTTCTCTCTTCTTATTTCTCTGTCTGAAACAAAAACAAACTGCCCCCAATTTAAGGAATACTTCCTCTCCATTCCCCTTTCCCTTTTGTGCCCCCCAAAGCAAGTAGGTACCTTGAAAAAAACTAGTGAGGAACTTGATTCATATGGTGGTTCTATTACTTACTAGCTGGCGATGTCACCTAATCTGAGTTTCAATTCCTTAATTTTAGTATTTTTAAAAAGTCGTCTTAGTTATATATACGTATGCACACACACACACACACACACATATTATATACGTATATTATATATGTATATTTCTAAGTAAACTCTACCCCCAACATGGGGCTCAAACTCACGACCTGGAGATCAGAAGTCACATGCGTTATCAACAACTGAGCCAGCCAGGTGCCTCAGTTCCTTAAGTTAAAAAAATGGAGAAAATAATACCTATCTCACAGAGTTATTCTAAGGGTGGGATGGTAAATTAAAAGCAATGAGCACATTTTCCTGAGAGGTCGCTATTACTGGAATATTAATCTTCAGCTTGGTGCACGATGAGTGGGTCTGGTCCAAGTTTTGTAAAAGATGTTTCACAAATTCACCATCTGAGTTTTTGCTCTGTCAGTTTTTGCTCTGACAGTTTTGTTCTGTCTCAGTTGCCATGACGCCTAGTCCCAGGGCTTCCTACCTCAACACACAAGCTTGTCCAGGGAATTCTGGCCTCTTTACAGTTCCTATTCTTCAGAGATGCACCACAGTAACTCAGTTTTGTATGTGGATGTAAATGGTCCGTGCAATGTCTAGTACTTGGGAAAAAAAAAAGATTTTATATTTTCCTTTCAAATCACCTGGAAAGACAAATGCAAACCACCACTCAAAATGCCTAAAGGCAGAGGTTCTCAGTCTCTAGAATGTGGAGCCTAGAATGTAAAGTCCAGAGAGAAGCAAATTTTTCTTGTGCGCCTCTGTACTGTACTCTCAGAGGCTGGCACAGAGCTTGCTGAATGAATGGAATCCATGGAGCTGTAGGGTCTGTGGACCCAAGAGATGGTTTATAGAATTTTGTATGCATATATGTATATGTACACTATCTTTTAGGTAAAGGGCTCATAACCTTTACTGTAACTCATCAAAGGTTGAGAACCACTGCATTTCGCTGTGACGCAAACAATGAGCAGACATATACCTGAGAGATCATCTCCTACTTCTTCTGGAAACAGTGCTACATAAAAGGTCAATTCTAGGAACCAAATCATCAACAGTTTAAACACAGGGCACTTGTGAAAATGATAATGGTGCTACAATAGAGTTATGGTAGCTTTCATAGTCAGGATGGAGATGCTAGTTAACATTTATTGAATGCTTGCTAAAATGTGCCAGGCACTTTTCTTAGCGCTCTGACAATAGGAATTAATCAATCATCTCACAATATCAGGACACACCCTAGGGAACTTGCCGAAGGTCACACACCTAAGAAGTCGGCGCCTGGTCACATTTTTGTCACTATTGGGAAGGTGGAGGGCAGTGTGACGGGCATTCAGAGGCCAGAGATGATGATGAACCCCCTACAGGATGGGGGAACCACAACAAAGAATTACCTGGCCCCACATACTAAGAGTGCTGAGGCCCAGAAATTTGGCACCACGCTGGAACACCTCTCCACACCATCTCATGTTATCCCTCCTCGCTCACCATGCCCATCCACACTCCTACTTTAGGTTCCTCAGGTCCATGGGCCCCTAGTCTTGCTCAAAGCCTTGGCATTAGCTGGCTCCTCATTCTCTGGGACTCGGCTCAAATGTCACTTCCTCAGACATGTCTTCCCTGATTATCTTACAGTTACTCTTTCTCCAATTTCATCACTGTGTACTGCTGTTGTAGCAGTCATCGCTGCCTACAATTATCTTATTTGTTTGCTAGTTGACTACTAGTTTGTCACCACTAATAAAGCAGAATCATGTTGAGATAGGTATCAGTCCTGTTCACAGCACTAGGGAAGTGCCTGATGCAAGGTGGGCACCGACATTAATAGTTACTGAATGATTAAATGAAAACCGGGATCTGAGACTAAAATGGTAAACAAGATCCTCGCCTTTATGGAATTAATAGGCTATGGGGTAATCAAATGAGAAATAAGTAATTAAAAATCATTAAGCAAACAATAGGCCATTCAAGAGGCTAAAGGGACTACCAACCAACTCTTCACCCAGGGCTAATGAGAGAATTGTGTCTATGTGCCCTTCTATTTGAAGGAGGACTTGGAAAGGCACGGCAGGCAGCATCCACTCTCATCCGCCAGGGTTTAAGGCTGGGCTATGAAATTTCAAACCGGTGCTGGACGTGGGGATAATGGGCGGGCTGTGATTCAGGCCTGAGGATGTGGTGTCTCGTGCTGGGCTGCTTTACACGCGAGCAGAACTCTGGGGCTTTCTCCAGGCCGTAAAGCGGATCCCAGGACCCCGGCCCGTCCTGCAGGTAGAGGGTGGGCCACCTCCGTCCCCCTCAACTCCCCCAGAGTACTCACCGTCACTCTCTCCCCGCAGCTAGCTACCGTTGCTATAGCGCCGACAGCGTGCTGGGCTGCTGGCCGAGAGGAGCACGGGAAAAACATGGCAGGCTCCGTTGCCTCCTGGGAAATGTAGTTTTCCTCCGGCCCTAGCTCGCCCGCTCGCTGCGTAGCTGTCGGCCCTGGGAAATTCTCCTGCTCCAAACCCCGAGGTGCTCGCGGGCGTCGCCGCCTTGCATCCTGGGAATGGTAGTTCTCGAGACTCTGAGAGAGAATGGCGCTGGGCGGGAACAGGACGCCGAGGGAACTACAAACAGGAGGCGGGGTCCAAGGCGAGGGATCTACGCGGCTAGCAGTGGCGAAGGCGGCTGTAGCGGCAGCATGAAGCGGACCCCGACCGCCGAGGAGCGAGAGCGCGAAGCTAAGGTACGTGGGCTTCTCCGGAGTCTGGGATCTTTCGTGCACTTGGAGCTAGGGGCCGGGAACCGGAAGGGCTTGGTTGCCTGGCGAGCGGACGCACGGTCTTCAGCCAAGGGATGACAGGGCCTTGTCAGCAAGGGAACCAGAGACGTTGGGGGATATTAACATTCGTGCTGCTCAGGATGCAGGCCTAGTCCTCTTGGATCAGCTCACCAATGAGAATCACGACATCCATTTCCTTTTCCTGCTTCTGCACTTCATTCCTTGGTCACATTTGTGGCTACCCAGTGCCTCAGTTTACCGGACTCTCCGAGGACTGTGATCCTAACAGTTGTGCGTTCTCTTCGGTATTGATTTCTGAGAACGAGATTGGTTCACATGAAGTATCTGTGCGGTCAGATGTGTTAATCTGGAACAGCGGCTGCCCGTTTTGTTCTGTGTCTTCAGCACCGTGGATTTGCATCTAAGTACAATCCTATTTTCTACCTTCGGGGTTCAGCCTCAGGTAGTTGCCATTCCGTGCGATGGCAGTAATAAGATCAATAGCGACGTTTTGTTTTGTTTTTAGCATTGATCACATGTCAGTTTCTGCGTTTAGTTCGTAAATTTATATTATTTCATATTACTACAGCAGATTTCAAGATAGATATTATGCAGATGGAGTATCAACAGCCCTGTTTTACGGATGAAGCCTTGAGGTTCAGAAGAATTGAGTGTTTTCCTCTCTCATCCCCCAAATCAAGCCCTGTTGATTTGTTTAAATATGTCGGTAAACCTGTCCACTCTTTCTGTCTCTGCCTCCTTGGACCGAACTACCGTTATGTCTTTAATGGCTTGTTGCAACAGTCTCCTTATTGGTCTGCACTCATCGACACCCTGACACTCCTTTGTCTCCTCATCCCCTTTCTCCCACACAACCTGTCTCTTCTGCACACCATGGAACGTGATCTTTTTCAGAATGCACATCTGATCACATCCCTTTCCTTCCTCCTTCCTCTGCCAACCACCTGTTTAAAAACCCTCGACGACTTTGTGTTGCTCTCAAGGGAAAGGCAAAACTTCACACGGCCTGCGGTGGTCTGGACATCCCACATGACATTCTGCCCACTCGTTGCCCATCAGCCACTTTGGCCTTTTTAAAAGACCGTCTTTTCTGCTCTATCTGGTTGCATAGCCTTTACACGTGCTATTATGTCGCCTACTCTGTATTAGGCAAATATTAGAAGTGAGAACCAATTATAAATATAACAGACACAGTTTTTGCTCTGGTAGAATTTTTTTTTTATGACAAGCATATGTAAGTTTATCTTACATTGGGACCTTGTTTTCTTTTTTTTTCTTAAGTAATTTATTGTCTAGTTAGTTTCCATGTAATTCCCAGTGCTCTAAAATTTAGAATCCTACAAGTGAGTGTGTCTTAGGGATCCTATGGATTTAAAATATAAAATCTACCCTATTATGACCTGGTTTCACCGAGGACCTGAAGTTTCCATGCTAGAGTTGGCCTGTGATATGGACAGTATACTAAAGATGGGTTCTACCCCGGGGATGGGAGAAAGGAAGATCCTTCTGCGTTAGTCCGCGAGAGTGTAAAGGAAGAGATAAATGTCATCCAGTGGCATTGTGTATGATGTCTTTCCCACCTTTTAGCTTTACATTTGTGTTTTCTGTTTATTGTTAAGATTTATTGAGCACCTGTTGTTTATTTGCTAGACATTGGGATTATGACTTTAGCTAAGATCGAATCCCTGCACAAAGGAGCTTTTATTCTACTGCATCCATAACCGTTGCCTGTGAGATAGTTATTCATGTCATCCACATTTTATGGATGGGAAAACTGAGGCTTGAGGAAATCATGACTTGCCTGAGGCCACTTGGTTGCTATGTGGAGCTAGTGTTTAGAACCAGGTCTGCTGACTCAAAGCTTTTTTTTCCATGTACTACTTGTGAAACATGTTGAATTGATAGAGCAAGTTGTCTTCCTGTGTCCTTTAAAGAATTTCTTTGATATTTATTTAAAATGTGTGTATGACAATATCATTGGCTAGCACAAAGTATAGGCAGTTGAGTTTTAAATCTTAAATAGGAAATGTTCAGTTACTCATGACCTACTTACTTTCTCATTTTCTAATCAACGTTATTGAGGCATAATTTCTGTACAATACGTTGCGCCCATTTACAGTACAATTTGATGAGTTTTGACAGGTGTAGACACCTGTGAAACCACCATCCCAGTTGACATAGAGAACATTTCAGTCCCTTCTAGAAATTTCCTCTTGCTGATTTGCAGTCAGTGTCTCCTCCCACCTTGGCTCCCAAGCAACCACTGAGAATGTTTTCTTTCGCTGTAGATGGGTCCGTATATTCTAGAGTTTTATATCAATGGAAATATGAACTCTTGAGTCCGTTTACTTTTGCTAAACATAATGATTTTTGAGATTTATTCATGTTGTCATGTGTATCAATAGTACATTCCTTTTTATTGCTGAGAGGTAGTCTACTGTGTGGATCTACCACATATTCTTTATTCATTCACCTGTTGCTGAAGATCATTTGGATTGTTTCTGGTGTGGGGCTGTTATGTAAAAAAATGCTGCGATGACCATTCACGTATAAATCTTACTCTTTTCTTTCTATTGGACAAATACTCAGAATTCCAATTGTTGAGTTCTCTGTTGAGCCTCCTAAGAAACTGCCAAGTTGATTCTGCCATTTGTATCAGTTTCCTAGTGCTGCCGGAACAAGTTACCACAAACTGGGTCTCTTAAGACAACAAATTTATTCCCTCTTAGTTCTAAAGGTAAGTAAGCCTGGTTCAAGGTTTTGACAGGTCATGGTCCCTTTGGAGGCTCTAGGGGAGAAGCCCTAGAGCCCTAGAGAAGGCTCCTTGCTTCTTATAGCTTCTGGTGACTCCTGGTATTTCTTGGTTTGGGCAGATTAATTTGCCTTTTCTGGAGATTTCACATAAATGGAATCAGACAATATGTGGCCTTTTGTGTCTGGTTTCTTTCACTCAGCATAACGGTTTGAGGTTCACCCATGTTGTAACGTGTATTAACACTTTGTTACTTTTTGTTACTGAATAGTATGATATTCCATTGTATGGATATACTGCATTTTGTTTAATCCATTCACCAGTTGATGGATATCTGGGTTGTTTATACATTTTGGCTATTATGAAAAATGCTGCTGTGAACATATACTATTTTTTTTATATGGGTATATATACTCCTTTAAGCTCTTAGGTAAGCTGCCTAGGAGTGGCATTGCTGGTCCCATGGTAAATCTATAGTTAACATTTTAAGAAACTGCTGTACTCTTTTATTCTGAATATTTGAGCGCTCCCCCCCTCAATTTTTAAAAAAAAATTTAATGTTTATTTTATTTTTGAAAAAGAGGGTGCGAGCAGGGGAGGGGCAGAGAGAGAGAGAGAGAGAGGGAGACACAGAATCTGAAGCAGGCTCCAGGCTCCGACCTGACAGCACAGTGCCCTATGTGGCGCTCGAACTCACGAACTGTGAGATCATGACCTGATCCCAAGTTGGACGCTTGACCAACTGAGCCACCCAGGCGCCCCAGAGTCCCCCCAAATTTTTATGCTGAGATCCTAACCCCCAAGGTAATGGTATTAGGAGATAGGGCCCTTTGGAGGTGATTAGGTGATTAATAATGGGATAAATGCCCTTATAAAGGAGACCTGAGAGAGCTCCTCACCCCTTCTGCCATGTGAGGACACAATCAGAAATTTGGAGTCTGCAATCCAGAAGGAGGTCCTCACTAGAACCTGACCATGTTATTACTTAGACCTTGGACTTACAGCCTTTGAAACTATGAGCAGTACATTTCTGCTGTTTATAAGCCACCCAGTCTGTGGTGTTTTGTTACAGCAGCCCGAATGGACTAAGACATTTTTTTCCAAGATGGACACACCATTTTATGTTTCCACTAGCAATGTTTGAGGGTTCCAGTTTCTTCACATACTTGTCGCCTCCTGTTACTATCTTTCTGTTTATAGCCATCTTTGTGTGCAGTGGTATCTCTATGTGGTTTTGACTTTCATTTCCCAGACATCTAATAATGCAGAGCTTCTCATGTGCTTATCGACTAGGTATATATTTGTTTTTGTGAAGTGTCTGTTCAAATCTTTAGCTCATTTTTTTTGGATGGATTGTCTTCTTAATATAAAGTGTTAGAAGCTCTTTATATTTTCTAGATGTAAGTTCTTTGTCAACGATATGTATTGTGAACATTGTTTTCCAGTCTTTTAGTTTACTTAATGGTTTTTTGAGGAGCGAAAGTACTTCATTTTGATAAAGGTCCAATTTATTGATATTGCTTTTTATGATTAATGCTTCTTGTGTCATATCTGTGAAATTGTTACCTATCCCAAGGTCACAAAGATTTCTTGTTTGCTTTTTAAATTAAACTTTATCATCCCAATAATGGGTAATTACTTTTGGTTTTTCTTTTTGAAATAGCTTAGATTGTATTTTCTTCTTGTGATTGCTTATATACAGGCTTTTAGGCAATTTCCAACTTTGGAGAGTAAATAAAAAGGCTGGACAGTTGTTATGTAGCTTTTCATGAGAATATTTACTCAATCTGTGTTAAAGGGGTAAGAAAGTAGCAAAGTATATTCATGCATTTTTCTTGTAAGACATACAGCAGTATGGTCCAGATTAGTATTTGACAGTCTGAGTTGGAATCATGGCCTTTAAAATGTCCTTGCTGTTGGGATGGGGGTTGCACGCTGTCCTTCAGTTTCTCCTGACAGAAGATGGAGTCAAGAATGGCTGCTTCTGGCCAAATGGCCAACAGACACATGAAAAAATGCTCACGCATCACTCATTATCAGGGAAATAGAAATCACAACCACAATGAGATACCACCTCACATGCGGTAGAATGGCTAACATTAACAACATAGGCAATGACAAATGGTGGCGAGGATGTGGAGAAAGGGGAACCCTTTGCACTGCTGGGGGGAAATGCAAACTGGTGCAACCA